CGCATTCAGTGGTTTCTACTGTTGCCTTTAACAGCTCGACAGCTCTTTAATCATCTGAAGAGCTCTCGTTGATTGTCTCTAAAAAGCACAAAGCGCATTTAGATCGGTCTCTTGACTTTTACTTACAGGAACCTCAACAAATTAAGGGGTATCAATAGTACAAAGACTGAAAACATTGTATGTAACGCAATGTTGATTTCAAGGAGAATAGGTATCTTAAATATTAACTTAAATAGATGGATGAAAACAAATACTCTCGAGTAAAATGTCGAACTGCCTTCTATACACACACACACACACACAAACAAACACGCGCGTGTGCTGTCCTACTTCTTCCAAGTCTATGTGAAATGCGTTCTTAGGTAACTTCGGTATTTATTATCCGATTTCTATAAAACTTTCAGATCTTAAATATGGCAAAACTGCGTTCGTACCAAAGCCCAAGGCAATAACTCGCGAAATTGGATTTATTGGATTTTTTCGATATCGAAGTGTGAAATATTCTGAATCTGTGTATAATATGAGATTTTGGTTCCGTTCATATATATATGCATATTAGAAAAGATCTCTGCAAGATAAAGGCATGTGCCGGCTAGTGCTTTATAGATGATATTCTAGATTTAGTCCCAGTTGAATTCAGTTTTTCCTTGGAAGGAACCAAGTCGGTTAGAATAAACTAATTGAAACACAATTTGGGAAAATGTAACTGACAATTTGCACAGGTTGTGTGCGTGTGCGGGTGTGTGTATATATATATATATATATATGTGTGTGTGTGTGTCTGTGTTATGATGCGAGGTGATGTTGGCCAGCCGCATCAAAAAGCCTTAAGCCTGTGGTTAGAGCATATGCTGTTGACTAGCTAAGATGCCACGCCCTGGCAACATCTTCGCCCACATCGCGCACCAGCCATAACGAGTGGGACGGGGCTGGGGTCTTGCGGGCAGCTGGTGTTGTGTTTGATTTGGTGTCAGCTTTAGGCGCCTGCCGCAAATCTACTTAATGCATACACCCACACACACACACACACAGCCTTGTGAGTGCCATGAAGCATAGGGCATGATGCATGAGGCATGAGACATGAGGCACGAGGCATGAGGCATGAGGCACATGGGTTCTGTTATTATTGGCGTAATTTGTTAAATGGGCGTGGCACGTACAGTGATTGTCGCGCACCAACTGCCATTTAAGGGCTCTAAACAGGATATATGTGGGCTTCTACAGTACAGACACCCACAACCGCACACACACACACACACACACCCACAACCGCACACACATATGCAGTTGGTGCATTGTTTGGCCCTGCTGCAAGATGAGCTCGAGTTGCATCAACGCCTGCTGCTGCATCAACACGGCTCCTGCTGCAACGGAAGTCACTGCATTTGAGGTTAAGTCACGCTTATGCATGTCTGTCTGTCTCCGCCCCTGGCCGCAGGCCCTGGCCTCTGACCATGCCCTCTCCTGGCACCTGCATTTAACCTTTTTACACCCTGCGCACCTACAACACTGGCCCCACCCGCATCATGTGCGTTAATACCTGTTTAGACTGTTACCACTCGCAGTGTGTGTGTGTGTGTGTGTATGTGTGTGGGTATTGGTGTGTATGTTTTTTTTGTTTTTTTTTTTTTACTCTTTATTAGCTAATTTATTGATACTATTCATGAGCATCTTAACCTAGCTTGACTTTAATGGGATAAACATACTTAATATTACCTGTTAAGTTTTATAATTATTCAATTTATCTTATATTTTTATTATGATTATTATTACTATTTTTATTTTTTTTTAAATGATTACCCGGTTTGGGAGGTCGATGGGGTGGATTCTGAGTACCTTGGCTTGGAAGACACTTATTTTCCTCAAGTGAGATTTTGCTGCCGCGCCCAAAATTTGGCTTGCATAGCGCCAGACTGGGGCCAGGAGGGTTTTATAAAGCAGCACCTTATTGGAGCCAAGCCATACTTTTTAGTTTTTGACGTACGCGGTGGCATGTTGTTGCGATGTGTTTGCTCCAAGTGAGCCTGCGATCAAGGTAGACTCCAAGGTAGCGATGGCCGTCTTTATGATCAAGAAGTTCGCCTTGGAGGAATACTCCTGGCGAGGTATCTCTCCGGATCGCGAATGTGCAGCATATCGATTTTTGCCTGCTGATGGCAATTCGCCACTTTGATGCCCACGTCTCCAACTAGTGCAGGTATTCTTGCAGTTGGTCAGTGGCTTGGTAAACACAGATAGAGAGAAAAAGAACACAGATAGAAAGTCATTAAGGGAAAGACAGTCTTCATGGAGAAAGACTGAAAGAAAAGACTGAAGCTAGTAAAAGAAATATAGAGTTGTATAAAGAGGAAGAGAAAATGACACTTTTAGTGATATATGCTAAGAAAGAGTATACCAGAAATATAAATTATCGATAATATATGATTTTTTTTTAATTTAAAATGTCAGTACCCATTCAGAGCTTCCTTAAAGCCTATTCAGATAAATAAGAAACATATTTCAGGGGACCCGAGCTTGAATATTCCTTATATTTCGTATTCGAAACTTTTGATTAAAGTGCATATTCTTTGGCGACGCTTAATTAATAAATATTTTGCTATAGTTATGTATTTCTGATATTTCACCAAGCTAATTTTAGTAGAACTTTTTAGACTGAGAATTACCTAAACTGTCACCCACAGATTTGCCGAGTAACTTAACACAAACAATGCTCAGTTCCACTCACATCTAACCGAGGCTAAAAAAGGGGTACAAAAAGTACAAAAAAGTCCGCGCTTTGACATAAGCAACACAACACGGATGAGGTAAGTTGGCAGCTTAGTTAATTCAACTCTTATCCAACTATCCACAAATTGCCTGCAGCCCTAAAAAAAGAACTCACGAATTAAGAAAATGGAAGTGTATTACATTGGTATGTGAACATTTATGCGGAGATCAAAAATTCTTGTACAGTTCGTAAATCTTGGATATCTTGTGCATAAACCTATTAAATGTAATTTACTTGCGGAGAAGCTCGCTGAATATTAAAATTATTGTGGTCTATTTATGGTGAAGTGTTAAAAATTATAGAGTGTAAATAAAACAATATAGAAAAATACAGAAGTGATTCTTAGCTCACACAAATACACAAGCCGCAAACTGCGCACCTTAAAACAGTTTTTTATAATTCGTTAGCCAACACTGGCCAGAAGAAAAGTGAGAAGTGCACAATACTCGTTAACAGTCCAATAAAGGCATTAAATTTTTTAAAAAACGCAGTCTAAACATTTTTGGATTGATCTTTGGGGGACCTCAGCCGTAGTCTTCAGTTCAAATCAAAAAATTAAAATACAAATAAAGGGATTGACCAGCACTGGACACAAGATTTTTATTGGACAACGAAAAACTAGAAGACTGACTGGGTTTATTTTTCCATGCAATGGGAGAAACATTTCGTATTTTAAGTTCCCAGATATCACAGTGGAAACATATCGACATCCGGTCCAACGTAACCTAAAATATCTGTTTCTACGTTGCTGTTTAAATATTTAGCGCAAGCATCCGACAGTTAATCGAACATGTTATAAAATCGTTAAGTTTTGTTTGATTTGATTTGCGAATCTAAGCATAATATTACCGGAGTGCCAATCGCACGGAGTACGTCCGAAAGGCATCTCCCAAGCAGTTCATATTTGCCAGCCACTCAATGCCCGTTAAAATAACCCCTCACACTCGCTTGCTGCAACCCTTCGCGGTGTTGATTCGGTTGAGCGACCCGTAGCCCTCGGGCTGGGCTGCTACTCCATAAGTCACGCAATTTCAATTCAACTGATTTTTCGCACCTCATCACGGAGCCCGCCCGAGGACCCGGCCCCGGGTGGGGCGTCGTCTTCGCTTATGTTTGCGGCCCGCGCCCTTTATTTATTTGGAGCATAACTTACTGACTTGGAAGGCGTCTTGTTTTGTTGGCATTCTTGTTTTACATTCTATCATAAACGGATTTGGGTTTGGCCCGCGGCTGCAGCCAGTACCCGGCGCATAGAAACAAATTTATGATATGCCTCCAAGCATATAGGCAGCTAAATTGTTGAACAAACTTTGCAAGGGAAAGTGAATTTTGGCTAAAAGCCGGTTGTTTATGCCCTGACCTAAAAGTATATCCTTTTCCCCCGTTGGAGAGGGACGAAATGTGTCTGGATGGAGTTGTCTCCGGCCTCATTAAGTATATATTTGTATATATTGCTGACCAGTGTAAACAGCCGAGTTGATATAGCCATGTCCGTCCGTCTCTTTTCGTGGAAAAAAGTCTCTCAGTTTTGAAGCTCTCAATAAGAAACTTTACATAGGCACGGATAGGACGACTATTCACTATAGATGTTGGCAAAAAAAAGTAAGTTCTTGTATGAACAACTTTTTAGATATCTTAACCAAGCGAGTTCTGGTATGCTTCTCACATTTGAGCCAAATCATATCCAGATTGGACTTCTACATTTCAAAACTCTATACGAAAAATCGATCGAAAAATATCTTGATCAAGCTCTGCAATCACAATCTTCGGTATTCTCGTAATATATCCCCAAAATCACACGTAATCGGACTATCATGATTCCTATACAAATAATCGGTCAGAAATAAAGCTTTGGTATGAAAGCACTTCTAAGTTATATATCTGCATGTGCATTTAATAGTCGGCGTGTCAAAATAAGATCATCTTTCTTATTTTAAGTTTCTCTAGACATTTACTCTAGATATCCAATGAAAAGATATATAATGTCAAAAACATATTTCTTGATATAATATGGTAACATAATTTGGTTAAAACCTTCATCAATCCATCTCATCGAGCGAAAATCTCAGCGGGTTTTTGTAATGTAGTTTAGCAGACGTAGATCAGTTACACTAGGATTGTTCTCGAAATGTATTTCAATTGATTTATATAAAATATATCCATGTAACATTTAATAGAAACAAAGCAACTGTTTTGAGCATCTCCCAGTCGGGGACTGTTCACTCAGTCAATGTCATTTGTTAGTTTTTATGGATTCTCGGTAGAAAAGCAGTTTCGAAAAAAATTTTCAGAATAAACTTATTTGGTTTTAGTTTTTAGATATTTGAGTAACCCCTAAATCTACACAGAGAGGACTTTTTACTTAAACTGATCGGAGGTACAACTTTGGCACATCTGTTGAGAAGTGGTTCACGTTGATTTGAATGATGCCAATAACGAATTTTACATAAACGGAGAATACGGTATGTAACACTTCGCGTTCTTTTCCCCCTTTAACTAAACACACAGCCTCACACAAAAGCTGGGAAGTACGCGATCTATCAATCAGTGGTACGCTCTAAAATGGTTTACGGATTATTCCAATTATTCTACTTGATAATTGGATTGTCCCACGGACGCATCAATGTTTCAATAGAAAACCTGTTCGGCTTCTTTTTTTGTGACCATGGGACTTACATGGATTCAAGGTGTGCAGCCTATTATGTATCTTAGAGCTAGGGACTCACAGATGGGCTTTTCCAAGTCCAGGTCTCCAAGCTTGATAATTCTCTAGCAGTCGATCATTGATGGAGAAATAGGTCAAGCCCAGATCTACACTGATGACCGATGATATAGATTCACTTCAACTTGGGCGCTGCTCAGCCACAAGACGTCGTAGGTCACGCATTGTCCTTGAGCAAGCCTTCTATTTTTGTTTAGCTGAACCAAGTACAGGGTACTCGAACTTCATTGGGCGAAGTAGGTTTGCATAATGCTTCAAAAGAAACCAATTTGGTTTTAGTATTAGGGATCTTCAGTACAACACAAATGATACAGATCGTCCGGAACTCTTGTGTAAGTTAAACAGGACAACTCACTTTGTATGGTTACTGATATTTAAATATGTATCTGATGTATATATAGATGGGTAAATGGGTAATACGTAGGTGGGGTATGCTCGATTGTTGGCCTAGCAGGCCTGCTGAATGCTTTCAAGTATTCATCGAGTTTTTGTGCTCAATTTCAGACATAACACAGACTAGATACACTTAACAACAACCAGATCCCGTTCAGATTATTCGAACGACAAAATTTTCACTTTTCGGCAACACATAGATTAAAAAAACCTATTGTAAATTAGTGTAAGATCATTGTGTTCAATTGTGGGAATCTTGACAACTTGGCACTTGGCACTTGGCACTTAGCTCTTGGTCGCCGGTCGCTTCCGCGTTGCGTTTCAATCCTCGATTCAAACCGATTCAATTCAATTCAAATTAAATCGCCTCGAGAGCCCACCACCACCACATCCGCAGTCCGATAAAAAAAATATATAGTAATACATATCGATTTGAGTCGCTAACTAATATGGAGAATCCGCTTTTAAATTCAGGTGATACGGCCCAGCAGACGACGAATCAGCAGGCGGCAAACGCCAAGCAGCTTCAGCACCAGCATCAGCATCAGCAGGAGATCTTCATACATAGCCGTACCTACGGACCGAAGCCTGCACTGAATCGGAGCAGCAGCAGCAGCAACAACAGCTGCAACAACTGCAACAGTAGCAACAGCCTTTTTAGCTGCTGCAACAACAACAATAACAATAACAGCAACAGCAGCAGCAACAACAACAACAACAACAACAGAAAGTTTCATCACAGCCGCAAGTCTGGCGGCGGCATACAAATGGCGTCGGGTCATATGGAGCGCAGCAGCGGCCAGAGCATGAGCACCTCCGGCACTGGCCAACACGCCCACAATCGCCATCACAATTATACGAATGGACAGGGACAGGCACAGGCACAGACACAAGTACAGGCACAGACACAGGTACAGGGCTACGGACACGGCGATTCATTGGGTACCAGCGGCAACAATGGCCGCACCAGCAATAACTCGGCAACTAGCATTGGCGGCACCACTGGCAGCACTGGCAACATGCCGCTCTTCTATAGACACTGCTCCGAGTATCAGCCGGGGCCGCATGCCAATCGGAATCCCTCGGCAAGCGTTTACAATGTGCGCTCCTGGTCCGGTTGGGATCCGCAGCAACACCAGCAGCAGCTGCAGTTGGTCCAGCATCATCAGCTGGCACAGCAGCAGCTGGCGCAGCAGCAGCACCATCTCGCACAGCAGCAACAGCAACAGCAGCAGCAACAGCAGCAACAGCAGCAGCAACAGCAGCAACAGCAGCAGCAACCATTGGGCACGTCCTCGCATTTCGAGATGCAACCGCTGCAGACATCGCGGTCGCATCAACTGAATGTGAGCGCACCCAGCTTTACGCCAGCCAGCGCCAGGGCTGTCGGTGGTGGCCTTACACCGGCACCGGGAATAGCTCGACGCCCGCCGATACCATTGATACCCAGCCAATCGCAGCCGCAGCTGCAGACACAGTCGCAATCACACTCCAGAAGCCAGTCGGAACGGAGCAACGGGCGACGCCAACAGTTACCGGATCTATTTCAAACGGTACTAAAGCTGATGCGAGAGCTAAACCGTTCGGTCAGCTATCCGGAGATGATTGGAATGCTGTCGATGCGGCTGCAGCGTTTGCCCGTCGAGCTGAAGCGTCATATACCGCACACACTACACGGGGCCGTTGCAAATGGGTATTTACGCAAGGATGGCAATTATTATACGCTTCTCTCGGAGCAGGAGCAGAAGGAGATCATGAAGCGCAACCAGGAGGCAGCCAAGCGCGCCAAGGAGCTAGAGAAGGAGCCGCTCTCGTGGCGCATTCGTTAACCCAGACTTTCTTGCCACTCGTAACACTTGGCCGTTGCCAGGGATTCGAAGTGTAGTTCATATCGTTGATGTTTTTGTTCCCGCGTTACATGCACACCCCCATGAATCCAACGAATGTCAAATTGTTCCACATACATATACTACATACCAAACGCTGGGCTGCTGCCGAATGACATTTGGGTATTCCTCTGAAATTTAAGTTATTATTTTTAACCAATTTCAATTGGCAAACCCTTCGTGTAAAATAAAAAAAAATTTAAGTTCGATCCAATAATGCGCCAACTTCATTCATGTGCCCACCTCGTCGACCCATTCTCATAATGGATAAGCTGGAGCAATGGACTATCGTATCGTATCTTGACTTTTCGTCAATATATCCATCACTATTCGCACGATTTAATCGAGATATCGCTGGCTGCCAGAAACCCTGCTCGGGAGCCCAAGTTACAGCTGATATGATGATCAGATATTCCAGGCCTAAGCATCGTCGGCTAAGCTCTTCGCTTTTATCAATTAGAAGTCTTCCAACGAATAGGTTTATTGGTGGGCCTCACTCTTCTCAAATATTTTGTTTCCTTATCTAATGTAAGCCTTACAAACTGATCCTTGCTCGGGCTTCATTTATTCCAAGCCTTAATTGTTCTTTCCTTTTATCAATCAAGAAGTCTTCCAATAAATTGATTTATGAGCGAGCTTCACTCTTTCCAATTGTTAATATTTCTTTGTTTATTAAAAGCATTATCTAATATTCCTTTCTAATAGGTCCTGCTCGGGTGATATTTATTCCAACCCTTAAACATCTCTATCAAGACGTTATAGTCATGTACATCCTCTATCCCGCCTTTCTGTCCGTTTTCCCGAATCTTGTATATTCTTTAAGTTTTAGAAGTCTTTCTAGTATATTTGATCAAGCTACATCTATTAGAAAACTCTCGGTTGCCACTCGCTTAGGCTAACTCGATGCTGATTATATTCAATTGCACATATATTTAAATTTTGTAGTATTTGTAACAATATTTGTAACAATTCATTATATTATTAGGCGAATATGTTCGGCACAGGTTATGATTTTGGTTTGTGGGCCAATCTGATTCGTACTTTATCATGGTGAACTTCCTTTCTCTGCCTTTGGCTGCTCACTTCCAGGTTCTTTTACACGGGCTTCCTCGCGGCTTCTGTTGTCCTGTTCGGGGGAAGCATTGCAACTGGAAACGTTTAGGCTCTGCTCCCGCGGCTCATTTGGATCCAGGCGACTTTGCACAATGGAATAGCGATAGTCTCGAACCCGCAGATATCCATAGATGAGGGCATCGTGCAGATTGACGGTTATTTGACGCTTCAGCTCCTCATCGGAACGATCCAAACGCTCCGATACGGCCTCTACAATCTCGTGCTGTGTCAGCGGACGATCCGATTCGGCGACCACATTCAGTATGCTACTGAATAGATTTGGTATAAGTTTACGTCGCGGCGCTTGATTTGGACCATTTTGTCTCATGGTGATGGCCACGGAAGCAAAATTAACATCAACAAGCAGACCAATTATCTAACTAAACTATTTCTACTACCTTGAATATGGGCTCTGACAGCTTCCTAAAAACCCACCAAGTAGGAGTACTAGATCGGATGTGAAAAACGAAAGCAAACCTTTAGACAGGTAAGGTAACGTTAGGTGAGAGTAGGGCGACCATTGACCTAGTCCCTCATTGTCTGTCTTATGCCCCAGTTGGCCTTAACTTTTCCCCTGAGAATTGAGCACTTCTTTCTTATCCGATACATGAATGCATGTGAGTGCTTAGAAAGATTGTTATTATTAAAAAATTATATTATTTAGTCTCTTTCCTCCTTAGTCTTAGAGGCGAATTCTTGAAATACTCTCTATATACCCACCATCCAATAAAGCCTCATCTTACGCCATATATAGGTTTAGGGCCTCGAAGAGCAGCTTACGACCCAGACCTGGCCAGTTTGTTGTCTTCCACGTACAACACATTTTTCAGGGACCCAGCAAAGTGTTAGGTTGCTCTGTCAGAGAGTTTCCACATGAGTTAATTTCCAAGAAATCGAATTATAGTTTTGCCTGGACTTCATGTGCAGAGGGTATATGACACTGTTTCTACCTCTTTCCCATCGTCTCAGCTTCCGCAGAGTATTGCACATTTGGTGCTCTTTAATTTAATTTTCCATTGTAGCGAGCGTTTGAAACATGGGTTAGGCGTAGCACCTTCTTTCGGTTCATAAATATAAAAGGAATATTGTTATGGAAAATGGTTAATAGAGAAGTTATAGCTATAGAGACGTTCACCTCATTCGAGATCGATATTCCTGGACTCACAATCAACAGTCAGATCATGCAGTACGGCTCGCGAAAGACGGTCTTGTAAAGCTGCAGATTTTTTTAGAAAAGAATCCGTTAAGCAAACGCAAGACTCTGTTGTAACAGGGGATTGTGGATAGAAATCATCATGCAGTCAGAATTTTTCTTAAGGATACTAAAGTAGCAAGTTGCCGGAAAAGCTTAGGAGAGAAATATCTCCTAAGTATCTATAGGGAGTATCTGTGAAAGGTACAGAAATTCAAAGGGAAAATCTATATAAAATATAAAGATCGTTTATATGGTAAGTAAGACCTATTCCTATTTCTGACCACTTCAAATTATGTCAGCAATTGGCATACTGCATGCTTTAAGAAAAACTAAAATGAGTTGCTTTCAATTGGGAAAACATAAACAGCTTGAGGGTTGTTCCACAAAAGAATGCTCAAGTCAAAAGCCAAACATTTGAGAATTGTGATTATATTGAAGCGGATGCTGGAGACACTTTAAGTGCCTCTCACCCAAAATAGAAAAAGGAAAAGCGACTTTGCGGTTTCCATTTCGTTTGGCAGCAACATCTTCAGCTGCCGCATGCAAACTGACGGACAGACTCTTCGTCTGACAGAGAGATGGAGAGAGAGGGAGATAGAGAGAGAGAGAGAGAGAGAGAGCGAGTCAGTCTCTAGAGCAGAGACAGAGATGGTGCTAGGGGTCAGGCTGTGGCTGAGTCTGAGGCTGGCAGCTATCGATTGGCAGTTAAAGTCGAGCAATGGACATGATTCGAGGGCAAACTGTTTGGTTGGGCTAAAAAATGTGATATGCGGGCAACTCCACAATTGGAACGACAAAGAATCTGCTTCTCGGAAATTTGCATAAAGCATTGCGAGGGCGCGACAACAGATGCAGATACACAGCTACAGATACAGATACACAGAGAGACTGAACCGCAGGGGGAGATCTCTGGCGACTTGGGGACTGGGACTGGGCATCATCATTGTTATGGTCGTCCTTGTTGGCAGTTGTTTTTGTTGTAGTTGTTGTTGTGTCTGGCACGTGTCACAGGAAATTTAGATAGCTGCAAATTTCCATTGGACGTCGCGTAACACAATAACCGCAGCCTGATTGAAATCAGTTTGAGTGCCGGCGCATTTATCTAACAGATACACAATTGAGAAGTGTGTGTGTGTGTGTGCGTTTGTGTGTGTTTGTGTATTGCAGTGTGGTGCAGCGTAGCATTAACAAAACAAGCGGAACTGAGCTTCAGGCGCCTTAATTCATGCTTTGAGCCTCAATTAGCAGGCCAAAAGGAAGCGCTGTCAACGTTTGCATAACGTTCGGTTCAGCGATGGGCACGTGTCATAATATTATTGATAACGTGACACGAAAGGAACACGAGTCACGCACGACGTATTAAAACCCATGAAGTTTTTATTAGTTTATTATTATTTTGAGGTCCCACAAGGGTTTTCTCAAAAGAAGACATATCACAATAATTGATGCTTTACTAAAAAGTCCCCATGGAATCGCATGGAAATAAGAGGAAGCAGAAGTTAAAAAGGGAAGAAATGGAAGCAAAATCTCCGCCTTGGAGCACGAGTCGACTATTAAAAGAAGCCCTCAAAAACCTGCTCCAAATGCGTGTTGGGATTTTTCTGGATATCAAACTGTTGCATGTGCCCTTCATATGCGAGAAGCTGATCATTTAAACAGCTTCACTTTTAAATCACAATTTACCCGTAAAATTCTTCGTCTGCTTGAATTTGTTATCGTTTTAGATAGACACGAATATTCGGTGTCACGAGATTGGTGGCACGCGTCCATCTCTAATTGGGTTCGCTCAGTAAGTGTCGCTTTTGAGTTCAGCAAACTGTCCGGCAGTTGTGCGTAGACGATGGAGCTGGACGTAAATGGGCGGCTCGTCCTGTCCAGGATTCTGGTTCTTGGTCCATTTGTGCAGCTGTCGGAGTTGATTATCAACTTTGGCGCAGCTCTCAGCCAGTGACAGGCCCAAAAGTTTTGTATCCATTTCCATTTCCAGTTGATATTATTTGGCTAGGCGCACTGCGCTACACTGTTTAATTATGACTGACACTGTGGGTAAGCGCAACACAATTCGCCACTTGAAGTTGTCCCGCTGCCCGAACTGCCCTGGACTAAGCTGGCGCAAGTGATTAGGCAAAGCCCCGAGTGCGTTGGGTAACAATTAAAATCAGCTCTCGCCGTGAAAAGTTTGTGCGCCCATCTGCGGAAGCCACCACAAACTAACCCTAAATGCCACACACGCCCTCGCAATTAACAGAAACTTTTACGGCGACTAAGCCCGGGGTTCCCGCTTCCGCTCCCGCCGATCCTGAGACAAGAATTATAGCCTGCAATCAGGCAAGCAGCATCGAGCATCTTGGCCCATTTATATACGCATCGCATATAATTCATTTTTCGTTTGCGCTTTGGTTTACATGATTTCCATTGCCGTCTTCCGTCTACCATTCCCATTTCCATTCCCATTTCCACTCCGTTCCCGGCACCAGTGAAGCATGTAAGTGCCGTACTCCCGTTTCAGCCTGGTCAATAGCTGTCGCTTGGCCCAGACTCCGCTCACATAACACAATGGCCTCGCATTGGCGTCGGCGACGCTGACATCAGCCCTTTTAATGCCCCCCCCCCTTCACTCCACAACAGGCAGGCAGTGGCAGCGGTCTAAACTTTGCAGCGGGGCTTTCCATTTACAGATGAAAGTGAAACTTCAAAGGAAAGTTTCACTCAAACATAAACTTATCTCGTGATCAAATAAAAGAATGAGCTATTTTCGTTGTAAGCAGACAATGGGAGCATTTCTGGCAGTTGACTATTTTTGCATACCCTGTACCTATAGTAAATGTGTGTGGAAGGGTATTAGGGTAGTGCGTGGTAGCGAAAAAAAGAAGCATCACCGACCATAAAGTATATACGCAAAAAGATCT